GCGCCCGCCCCGCCCGCCGCCTCGCCACTTCCTGTGCGCGGCCCCGAGTTCCGCCGGCGCGGGGACGGGACACGCGGGACGGCTGGGGACGCGGGACACGCGGGGCGGCGCGAGGCGAAGGTGGAGGCGGGGCAGGCTATGGGGCGGGGCCGGGAGTGGTGGGGTTGCCGCGGGACCCCTCGCTGCCCTTGTCTCCACGTGACCCCATCCCCCACCCGCGGGGTCCAGAACCGCGCGTGCCGTGGAATTGTCCACAATCGCCCTGCCGACCTCGCTGGGTCACACTGGGTCCTCATCCAGCTCTAGCTGGAGACACCTGAGCCAGGGACAGCAGCCTCCTGTGCCCCCATCCGAAGCAGGCAGGGACCCCTGTGGTAGGTCCCAGGAACAGCCGCCCCAACCTCTTCCTACACCCTACCTCTGTGCAGGGGCGCCTGCTGGGATCCTTGGGTCCAGCTGGACTTCCTGAGCCTGATGGATTTCATTCGAAAACTGTTTAGTATGCACAGCCTGGTGCTGGCTGCTTGAGTCTCCTCATGAGCCTCCTCAAAGGGTTTCAGAAAATGCCTGGGGGAAAGTACATGTTCGTGGACTTCACCTTCGCTGACTCTTGAAATGAAGCTCTGTTGTGCAGTGTTGGTAGAAACCCAGTCTTTCCAAAGCCTTCACCCTGCACAGCCTGCCGGCGTTGGTCATCAGATCTTGAGGTACAGGGTGCTGACTTGGTGCTCCCGTGATTACAGAGGAGATGAAAACAACTCAGTAAACTCCAGCTCTGCTCATTAAATGTTTTTTTTCATTCTTTTTTTTTTTTTTTTTCTATCTTATAGGAAAGGTGAGTGGCAGCCACAGGTATTGGGTTGACCTGAGCTGTCAAAGTCTCTCCAGGTTGCTCTCGCATGCAGTTGTAAATGTTTTTTTTTTTCAAAAACATTCATGTGGTGATTCTGTGTACACGGATACAACTTGATCTCTGAGACTGTTAAGTTAAAAAGCAATACATACTCACTGATCCACTCTGTGTTACAAAATGTCTCTGCAGTTGTCCAGGAAGGGTCTGGAAGGGGTAACCTGAGACAGGATGGCAGAGCAGGGAAACTTGGAGTGGGCAGGGACAGGCAGCTGTGTCATAAATGCACACTGTACACTCACTTTTTTAAACCAATAAAAATGCACCTGCTTGGGGCTGGGGAGGTGGCTTACCTGGCAAGTGCAAGGGCCTGAGTTCAATCCCCGGTTCTGAAAAATAAATAAATAAAAATACACCTACTTATGCAGACCTTGGGCAGCATGTTGCTTGTGTTGCTCAGGACTTGGTCTGGATGGTGTGAAGCTCCTCAAGATAATCTAATCTTGGTTTGATTAGATCTTCGGGCAGGATCTGTCCCGGAGCACATAAACATTTGAGTAAACACAGACAGGGCACTTGGATGGCAGCCACCAGCTTACCTCCTCCCTGCTGTCCAGAGGCCGTTTGGGCGCCTGGCCCTGAGAATGGCTGGCTGGCACCCTATGTGTGCTTAGGGAAAAGGTATGAGGATCTGTGCCCTGGCCACTACCAGCTGCAGCAGAGCCTTGGCCTGGCACTCTTCAGTTTCTTCTCATGACCCAGTGATGATGTTTTCCTCATAGGAGAGAAACTGGGATTCCCCAGCTTCCTAAGTTAAAAATAGGGGGAATGGGGAAGCACTGACCTCTTGTATTATTCATACAGGGAGGGCTCTCTGCCAGGAAGGAGAGGAGAGTGGTACAGGTACCTACTTTGCAAATGTGCCAAGCTCCTGCTGATATTGGTGTTAATCTTCAGCGTGAATTTTGTTATCCCATCTTACAGATCAATAAACTGACCCTGAGCATTGCCCTCTGCCTGCCTCTAAGGCTAAAGGGGCCTTTCCAGCTCTAAACTACCTTTGTTGGAAGACCTTCCTGACCAGCCTCACCCAAGGCCCAAGGGGGGGGGTCCGGACATTGGACAAGTTGGGGAGGGAACAAGCAATGGCCACAGGGAGGCCTCCCAGGGTGACTGGACTGGGACATCAAAGGAACTGAGGGCCAAGCCGCGATGCTAGCCTGTGACCTTAGGATAGTACATTTCCCCTGTTAGTTTCTTTTTTGTAAAGAGAACTGCACACTGGTCTTCCCAGTCCCCAAGGGTGTGCCCAGAGAGACTGGAGCCTGGATAATTCGGGCATGGACAAGCCTCAGGCAGGCTTCCCCCAGGTGTAAACATCTACCAAACTCAAGGTAACTGAATTGGAAAGCATCTGTGTGGGCATGGACTGTGAATAGAGAGGCGTTGAGGTTGGTGTCGCTTTTTGACCTTGGACACAGGATCTTGCTATGTATCCCAGGGTGGCCTTGAACACTCCCTGATCCTCCTGCCTCAGCCTCCTAATTGCTGTGACTACAGGCATGCACCACCACACCCAACTAGATCTTTTTGACTAACACCGTGTCGGGAAACAATGATAACAAGCATGATTTTGTCAGGACATGGATTATTTTAAACATGGAATCCACAGAGGCAAACATTTACAAATGGGATTTTTCACAGCGACAACACTGGAACCCCAGGGACGCACAAAGATCTGCCCTCGGGGATGCGGCCACACATCCAGCAGCCAGCTGCAGGCACCAAGGTGACTCAAGGGAGATAGTGGAAAGAAGCCACAAAGCCAGACCCTGACTAGAGCAGACCCTACCAGCATCCTATGTCCAGCTGTGAGGGCCAGGTTGAGTGCAGGCTGCAACTCCTGGGCCAGAGGAGACTGAGGACAGCATGGTGGCTGCGGGTTACCCTGGATCTGAGGCTGTGCAGCTTCATTCCTGGCCTCTCCTTTCAGTTCACAGCCATACAGGTCACACACCCCTGGCACCCCACCCCACTCAGTGCCAGGCCCTGGAACCATGCTGGACCTGCTAAAGACCCTCACCCCACACAGTGAGAGATGCTGCCTCAGTCAGGCTTCTTGGCCTCACACCCCATAGTCCAAGCCAGTGGGCCCAGCATTTGCATGCTGTTCTGACCAGAGCACAACCCTCTCGTGTCCATGGGAGTCAGGACCAGAGTCCCAGCTGCTAGGGAGATGGGGCCACTGGGATCAGTTCCAGGTGAGGCTTCTGTTCCTCTAGGGAAAGCCCCACCCTCCCCTGCCCAGGTGTACACTCACACACAAGCAGAAACTATTTATTTGCACAACTACTTCTTCAAGATATTTTCTAGGGTTAATGTTATAGACACACAAACTATTTCTAAACCATCATGTTTTCAGGGTGCATAGAAGAGCTGTAACACTTCTTACCCACCCAGCACACAATTCAGGTCCTGAGAGGTCGGGAAAGAAGACCCTGGCCCTCTCTTCCAGGGTCAAGGGGTGAGGCAGCAGTGCCAGGAGGTGGTGTGGGAGGCAGGGCCCCTGCTGTCCTGGGCTTGGAGCTCAAGGCAGGGGTGTGAGAACCTGGCAGGCCCAGCCTGAGATGGTGTCCTCTGACTCTATACCAAGAAGTTTCTGGAAGCAGAGCCACAGAGCAGCTCACTGGTACCCAGAAGTCACCACAAGGAAAAAAACACCAGGCCACCAGTGAGCTCATGGCAACCACTTGCAACTGCTAGATGAGTGGCTTGGGGTCCTGCCTTGTACTGTGCTTCTCAGCAGTACATTTCTCCATGCCGCACTAGCAGTGTTATACCGTGTCACATGCCTGTCCCCCTGCATCCCACCTGAGTCTGAGGGGTCATTGATCCAGGAGCCAGGGACCCACATCTGTGCCGTTGTTTTGCTGGCTCCATGGCTAGCACTGTTGCCTGCATACCAGTCTGCGCCTCACTTTCTTTCTGGTCAGGGACCAAGACCAGTGGAAACATCTGTGGACACACACTTAGGGAGTTCGCTTTGGGGTATCTGTGAAATTCTGTCTGCCCAGCCATGTCCCAGGGACCTCTACTGTCTTCTCCTTGGAGCTGCCTTGCTCAGCTCTTAGCCCCTTGCCCTATGTCTCTGGGCTCCTGGCACCGTTGCCTGCTTCTCCTCTGGGCATTTCTCTCTACCCATAGCCCTGGGATTGCAGAAGCCTTCCTATTCCAGTCTCACTGGGTCTGGGCCCTGGACAGCACCTGGCTCCCAAAAGTCTCCACCCCCTTATAGGCCGAGGACACCTCAAGAGAGCAGGCCCAAGGGACAGGCATTTTCTTAATTTGTTTGTGTTACATGTTCTGTTAGGGCTGTGTAGTCAAGTGCCAGGGCTGGGGCTTCCACAGGGCTGACACTGTCTCTCCTGGGACTGGAGGGCTGAGGCCAGGGTGTCACACTGGGTACTCCCTGAGGCCTCCTCCATCTTGGCTTGCAATTGGGCAGCTGGCATCTTCTCCCTGTGCCCCCGGGGACATCCTTCTGTGCCCTGCCCTCTTCTTAGGACATAGTCATGTGGGATCAAGACCCCCTGGTGGCCTCATTTTAACTGTGTTACCTCAGTAAAAGGCCCCAGCTCCAAATACATTCTCAGGTCCTGAGGTTCAGACTTGAGGTGTTGGTCCCCACTGCTCAGAAGATAGATGTGTGTTCTCTCTGCAAGAAACACAAATTGCTCAGGAGCTTTTCAAAAAACATTGCAAAGTCCTCAGGCAAGGCAGGAGGTGCTTCTCCTCTGGGCTTCGCTCTCTACCCATAGCCCTGGGGCTGCACAGCCCTTCCCATTCCACCCTTGCTGTGCCCTGAGGAGTAGGAGCCACTAGTTCTTGGGCCAACCAGAGACCCTGCTGTGGCTCCTGGCTTGCCCCACCTCCTGGAGGGGAATCCAGAAGGAACTTGGGGGCTGGTAGGAAGAGAAGACATGGGTCAGGGAGATGGCTCAGTAAAATAAGCATTTTCCGGGGAAGCACAAGGGTCTGAGTTCAATCCCCAGTTCTGCAAAAAACAACAACAACAACAACAAAAAAAAAAAAAAAAAAAAAAAACACCAAAAAACTGAAATTTAAGATCCTTTGGTTCATGAGCGTGATGATTGGGTGTTCATGCCTTATTCATGAGATGTGCCTCCCTCTAAACCTTTTTATGACGTGGGCACATTATCTGTCTGACTTGAAAAAAAAAAAAAAAAAAAAGAAGAGAAGGCAGGTGCAGGGACCCAGTGGCCAGCTCTGAAATGCAGGAATACCACTCCGCCCCACTCACAAACTCATGTTCCAGGCCCCGTGGCTCAGGAGCCTGCTGGACACTCATGCTAGGTGGCCTGGCAGTGGCCACAGCATCTGTTGTTGAGTGGGAGAGAGGTAGGCAGAGCAACAGCCATGTCACTGCCTGGGACCTGAGCAAAGCTTGGTCCCTTCCTGGCCTAAGCTTCACCATGTGTTGCCCCGTGGCCTTGAGGGGGCTGCACTATCAGATGAAAGGGCAACCCCCTGGGGTCCATCCATGCCTCAAGGCCAGGAAGCAGAGGGCAACTGCACAGGTTGGCTCCCCAGGGCCCCATGAGTACCAGGCGACCATAGCAGAGCTCTCGCCCATGGACTCCTGGGAAAGCCAACTGCTCCCCATAGAGCTGAAAGGCTCCCGCTTGACCTTCGAGACCCAGAGGGCTCAGCTTAGTGGAGATTCTGGAATATTGTCCTGGATGGACACCAGGTTTAGATTTGAAGATGGCCCTGGGGCCCAGCACTAGTAAGCCCTGCTATGCCCTGGACCACCTCTCTGATACGTGGTCAGTGGGCTATGCCAAGGAGCCTTCTCTAGAGCTTTTGCCCTGGCTTCTTGCTTTAGCATAAGCCTGGCCCATCCTGTCCCGTGTCCACTGCTGCAGACTCACTCCCTGCCTCCCCTTCCTGGTCACATCTGTTCCCAAAGATGCTAGCTACAAGGGCCCAGGCTGAGTCTCTGAGGTCCTGTCCATTGTCCCTGTTGTTCTGTCCCCTGCAGATTCCTGAGTTCATGCCCTCCATTACCTGGCTCCACCCCATACGCCAGCTCTACAGGGCTGTGCACATTGTCCTTGACCTGACCTGCTCACCAGTTGCACAAAAAAGTCCCCGGAAGTCCTGGCTCCTCCCAGGCTCTCACCGCCCTTGCTCTAGGCCCTCTGGTGCCGCACAGAGAAAAGTCATAACCAGGGAGAGTCCTGTCTCTGTGCTGTCCACACATGGAGATAGAGGCATTCAAAGGGAAGGGATTTTTTTTTTTTTTGTGTGTGTGTGTGTGTGTGTGTGTGTGTGTGTGTGTGGCCAGCTCAGCCCACCAGGGGGCGGGCTGGCTGGCATGTGGTGCTGGAGGATCGAACTGCGGTCCCTGTGCTTTGCTAAGCTTGTTCCAAGTAGGTGCTTTAGACCACTGAGCCATCTCGCCAGCCCCAGGGAAGGGATTTTGAAAGCACTTGTGTATTGGGTGCTGCACTCCTGGCCACACTGAGATGCCTCCTCTCACAAGCTGCTGTCCCTCCATCATCACCCTGGGGCAGCAGTCGATGAACAGGAGGGTGAAGCTGCTGCCTGGCAGCCAGGGATTCTGGACAGGGTGAGACCAGCTCATGACAAAAGAACCACCCAGTCAGCCCAGCCCATTGTCCACCTCCAACTGGAGCAGCACAGCATGGCTTTATGCCAATCAGCTTGATGGCAGTGGGGGGCTGTGGCTATGGACGTCAGAGGTGCAGAAGTCAGGCAGACTGTGCTTGCACAGTGATAAAGAGACAACGCTTGCCATTTCACAGATGGCATGAGCTGAGGTGTCTCAAGTCACTGAGAGTAGGTCCTGCATGACCTTGGTGTGCATGCATGACCTTGGTATAGGGACACATGTGTGTGCAGCCCAGCTGTGTGGTAGGGTCAGCCATGGCTCTGGGACCAAGATGCATGGGCAAGGGGACATGTCCAGGGCCTGTGGGTGACAGCTGCAGAGTAGACCCTACTGTTCCCATGTGGTAAGGCCCAGGGACACCTGGACCAGTCCTCTAACTCCAGGATGAGGCCACCAGTACCTCTCAGTTTAAGTGCAAGGTGCAGAGTTTTGAAACAAACAGTGTCATCTGTCTTCTTTTCTGCCTCCTGGAGAGACACTGCCTATAGCACCCTGGGTGGCCTGTGTTAGCCATACTGCTATCATCCAGCCCTGTGTTTTGTGCAAGTTTTTTTGTTTGTTTGTTTTTTGTTTTTCAGTGTTGAGGATTGAACCCAAGGCTTCACAATGAGCTGCATCACTACTGCTTTTTAGATTTTATAAATAAAAAATTTATTTGCTAAATTGCATAGGCTGGGCTTGAACATATTGTGACCTTCCTGATTCAGCCTCTCAGAGTGCTAAGATTCACTGCTTGCCTGGAAATCCTTGTTCTATCTTCCCTGTGCCCCTCTTGAAAGCAGACCCTGCGCAGGCCTGAGGTAAGGCCCGGCTGCCCCTCCTGCCCTTGTTGGATAGAGGCCTGCAGGGTGGAGACCTTCTCTTCTCCAGGGTCTGTCCCAGGCTAGGGATCTGCAGGTCCATTTGACAAGGTTTCTGTTATCATCACTCTGACCTAAGGTTGGGAAGAGACTCCCCTGAGTGCTCTCCCCAACTATCGAGGTGTGTTTGCCCTTCCAGGTGACAGCCAGGTGACCGTGTGAGGATTTCCACAGTACTGTCGGCATCCACCAGGCTCTGCGCTGTTTACTTGATGTGCACTGTCTTTGTTTGTTTGGTGTTACAACTTACTGCACATTAATGGAATAAATGAAATTGCTGAGGGAATGTTCAAAATACTTGAGGACTATTTTCAAGCAATTTTAAAGCCATCTTCTCATGGAAACTGCAAAGCAAATTATAAATAATTATCTACTTACTAAAATAATCGACAGTGCTTCATGGGTATGAGCTCCTCTCGGTGTCTGTGGTGAGGAAACCTCATCCCCAGCCTGGGCCGAGTGCTGGGCAAGTCTCAGTCTCTCCACTGGTCCCCAGGGCCAGAGATCAGGTCACCTCTCATCTGCTCTCCCAGTCCCTTGCCTGCCCCTCGCAGGGTCCCAGTCTCCAACCTCTCCTCGCCCCACCCCAGAGAGAGCTGGGGAGCCCCCCATACTGCTTCTGAGCCATGGCAACCTGACACCATGCTGCTGGACCATCACCCCAGGTATGCACAGGGTTTGTACCCCAACTCTGACACACAGCTGTGACCCTCTGCCTGTTCCATGCCTCCCTGGGTGTAAGTCCTCCTCATGAGGGCATGGGGGGGTAGGAGAGACAATGCCCCACCTCCCAGGACAGAGGTCAGGAGGGAGAGCTGAGGCTGGGTCTCTGACTGTGGCTCCAGCTCCTTCAACACCAAAGCTCAGCAATGGTGCTTAGGAGTCAGTGTTTCCCTTTTCAAGTCCCCAGCATGGTGGCAGGCCCTAGCATGGTGGCACAGTTTACCAGCCCCTCCACCTCCAGAGCTGCACAACTAAACCAGAAAGGAGCCTGGCACCCACATTTAATCCCCAGGGTGTTCCGTGCTGGTCCAGTTTGAGAACCACTGTGACAAAGGTTCTATCTTTCAATACAAGCATGAATAAATTCAGAAACCTGCACTTCAGGGCAGTATAAGGAAAAAAGGCCGTGCCTTTTGCCGTGATTTTTAACTATCAGCCCAGATGTCCCCCTTGGGCCCTGCCTGGTCCTTGAGCCTTTACAAATGTCCAACAAAGGGCCTTGTGGATACCACAAGCCAAGCTATACTTGCCATCCTCAGGAGCTGAGGCCTGGCTCATGGTGTCTTTTCCTTTACTCAAAACTCATTAATCACCAAACCATCATGGGCCCCTCATGACCTTCTGGAATCCTAATTACTTCTCAAATAACATCAACATATAAATTAGGAGCCAGGTATTGTGGCACACACCTGCAACCCTAGTACCTGGGAGGCTGAGGCAGGAAGATCACCTTGATTCTTCCTAAATTTTTTTTTCCTCAAAACCAGGGATTGAACTCAAACCCTTGCACTTGCCAGGGAAGTGCTTATTCTACTGAGCTATCTCCCCAGCTCCAAGATCACCTTGAGTTCATGGCTAGCCTGGGTTATAGCAAGACCCTGTCTCAAAAAGCAAATGCAAAAAAATAAAAACCTATAACTCAGTTTCCAAAAGTAGAGCCTTGGGAGACACGTTGAACCCATGGCACCAAGTGTCTGAAGCAAGGTCTCAGTCTGGGGGAGGGACTGGGGAACAAAACTGTACTCTGTCCCACCAATGGCCAGGCCACGAGCCCTGCCAGCTGTTTCAGTGCCAACCTACTCACTCCATCGCTCCCAAAGAACGAGCTTTCTTCATGGGCTCCGGACTCTTCTTCCATGCCAGCCCCTACCACCAGGGGGCGCAGAAGGTTTCCCGCTCACTTCCTGCCTGCTCCCCGACTCCTGTGCCTGGTCTACACATCTTGCTCCGGGCCATGTCCAGGCCTCTTCTAGCTGTGGCCTGTCCCTGAGATTCTGATGTGCCAGTGCCACGTCTGGGCCCAGCCTGCCTCTGTCACACACAGCAGCGTATGTCTGGCACAGGACTCCTGGGGCTCCAGTGAGGACAAGTCCTGGGGCTAGCACCAGGTTGAAGGATGCTCCCCCAGAGCCCAGATGTGCCTGCAGCGATGGCGACACCACCTTGTCCCGCCTCACCCTCTTTACGTTAGTTCTACTTTACAAATTACCCCTTGTACAATTATATTTGTGTTTGCAGGGTTACAAGTGCTAAAGAAAACCAGCTTTGTACAGCTAAGAAGCTAACTGCTGGCGTCAGCTACTGCAGGGAAAGAAGCCGGATAGACGCTGGCGAGCCCTAATCAGCAATCTTCCTTAGCCTCTCAGAGCCTGGGACATCTGAGGTCTTCGGATAACAAGAGCCTGGGCTAGGGACTTGCCAACCTTGTTCTTTAATTTAAAGTGAACTCATGTTTAGTGTTCAGGGAGCTAACGTGTTTTCTAAAGAATTACAGGGATTGGCCCAAGAGAAGAAAGTTGATTGTTGCCTCAAGAAAATTCTGGCAAAAGAGAAAGAGACGGGTGAGGAGACCCTGCTAGACAGAGCCCTCCTGCCCGAGGCCTCAGGACTTTCTCTCGTCTTTGCTACCTGGGCTCCCTAAAGGGGTTTG